AGAGGACACCTCTCTATCATTTAGCCTGAGATAAAACTTGAATAAAGCTTGGTACTGGCTGTTGTTTTAGACCCGTACATAGAACGAGCTAATGTTCTATTTATTTAATATATATTTGATGGCCACCATTGTCATTATTCATGAGTCCAGTAGCTTTCTGCCATTTGGAAAACACATATGGTATTAGACCACAATCTATCTCTCTTATCTTTTCCAGTTTTTATCTGATAAGGCACAATTTGGATTATAGATTATAAACACAAGGTAATAAGACCAAATACAAATAAATAAATAGTGTGTGATGTTTCGGTAACAACGTTGTTACCATCTTCTGACAAAAGTATTGAATGTATTACTTTCCATCATACTTACCATTCAGCATTTTTGTCTGAAGATTTTGCCAGACAAAAGTGCTGAAGATGGTAACAACGCTGTTACTGAAACGTCACAAACTATTTATTTATTTGGAGATTTGTTGTCTTATTACCTTGTGTTTATAATCTATAATCCAAATTGTCTGCCTTATCATTACTTACAACTGATTCAATAGTTGTATAGAATTGTGTGCTAGTGTTTTAGTTTGTATTGAGTGGTGGTGTGATGGGACAGATGGAAGCCGGACCAGTATCCCCGGACTCTCCATCGCAGTGTATGACGTGGGCTCCACCTTCGTGGAGGTGGACTGGCACAGTCCGCAGCCCCCGGCAACCTGCGAGGTGGCCTACAGTCCGCTGGTGGCCCCGGACCAGGTGGACATCCTCTCTGACTTCCTGCCCCAAGGCCACACCTTCCGCCTACGTGGCCTACGTCCCAATCTCACATATCACCTCCACATGGTCTGCTTCGCCTCCAACTGGGCTAAGATGGAGTCCAACCTGCTCCACTTCACTACAGGTACATCACTCTCATGGCACTGATGATGATGCTGTGGTAACTCAATAAAGTGTTTTACTGAGAAAAATCATCTTTTTTTATTAACACAAAGTAAATAAGACCATATCCAAATAAATAAATAGTGTGTGACATTTCAGTAACAATGCTGTTATTATTTATTTATTTGATCTTATTATCATGTGTTTCTAATCTATAATCTATAATTTTACCTAATTAGATTAGAAACACACAAGGTGAATAATATTAAATCTAATGATAAGGCAGACAATTTGGATTATAGATTATAAACACAAGGTAATAAAACCAAATCCAAATAAATCAATAGTGTGTGACGTTTCGGTTTCAGTACTTTTGTCTGAAGATGGTAACAACGCTGTTACCGAAACGTCATACACTATTTATTTATTTGAATTTGGTCTTATTAACCTTGTGTTTACTTGGTAGTTCTAATCTAGAATCCAAATTGTACCTTATATATATAAAAAAAGTGAAATGTTGAAAGCTTGAGTTAAGAAGACAAAAGAATACTCCCTGTGACAGCAGACCATTGTTGTCCAGGGAGCCGGACTTTCCTCCCCCAGATGAATCCCCACTATGTTCCTCCGCCCACAGTCCGCCCAAGTATGAACAGGATATCCAGGAAGGGGCTCTATCCAGATGAGGAGCGTACGCCACGTACAGTACCACCATCGCGCGTATTGCTTGGAGCGGTGTGCGGCATTGTAGGCTTCCTTATCATCAATGTGACCATCGTGATTGGCATCCGGAAGTACTCCCTGTGGCAGATGAGGAGGAGGAGACGGCTCATGCAAGTGGAGTGAGTTCCTTTGTGACTCCAGCCACTGGGTTTGTTTGTTTCCTCTCATTTATTGTTTTGTTGTTTGTTACTTTTTGTTTTATAAAATTAAAATATTTAAAAGCACGAATGTTTCTTTTATACACAATACAAATTTCTACTGTCCTTACTGCGATGAAAAATATATTGGGAGGGCTCATCAGTGGTGAACCCTCCCAGCGGTTTTGGCGAAATTGCCGAAACCGTTGGGAGGGTTCACCACTGATGAGCCAAGCCCTCCCAATATATTTTTTCATCGCAGTAAGGACAGTAGAGGTTTGTATTATGTATAAAAGAAACATTCATCCTTTTAAATCCTTTCATTTTATATATATAGATGACGCGTTATTGCTTAGTACTTTTTGTTTTGTTTATTTTATATTCATGGAAAAATATTATTTATAAAGCATTGATAAGACTCAATTTAGATTATAGATTATAAAGTAATGGATACAAGAAAATAAGACCTATTCCATCATCCATCATCTACGGACAATGACTTTTCAGAATGGTTGCAAGGTTTACCCACTATGTACTAAGTGTCAAACTGTAACAATCCCAAACCACATTATTGACTGTATTGACTTATTCATTCATGTGCTCTACTCATCCCCGACAGACACCGGTTGACACCCTAATATGATATTGAGTGGAGATAAGAAAGAAGAAGAAGAGACCTAATCCAAATAATTTAATAGTGTGTGACAATATGGTAACAATGCTGTTGCTTGAAAGGTCACACATTATTACATTATTTGGATTAGGTCTCTTATTTTCTTGTATCTATAATCAAAATTGTGCTTTTTCATTATAAAGCAATGATAAGGCACAATTTGGATTATAGATTATAAACACAAGGTAATAAGTTGATAAGGCACAATTTGGATTATACATTATACACACAAGGTAATAAGACGACAAATCCAAGTAAATAGTGTGTATCATAGTCTGTAATCCATAGAAGCACAGGGTGCCTCTCCCATCAAAATAAAAATCAGGTTTTGACGTTTATTTTGATGGGAGAGGCGCCTTGTGCTTCTATGGATCAATTACCTCCCGGCCTATTATCCATCTATAGTGTGTAATGTCTTATTTTCTTATAGACATAATCTACAATCCAAATTTATCATCATTTAATTTCAATTATTTCTTAATACAATAATTTCTTGATTAAAATCTATAATGGATATTTGGTCATGGAATAATTTTTCCAAAAAAAAATCAACAATTAATTGATATTAATTCCAACAGATGCAAAACTTTTAGTTGCATGGTCAAAAATATGCTTTTTTTCTTTCCTTTATTTACATACCGGATTCCAGTGCATTTTTACATTTCTATTTTTGTTCCTATGTATTTTTGATATTCTGTTTGTTTAATTATGAAGACAAACCAGTTCCCATCAAATGAGGAATTAAAGATTCAATATATATATATATATATATATATATATATAATGTTATAAACAATACTTAAAATTATACCGCATAAGTTTCTTTTCTATGAAAAATCAATATTTATTTTAAAGAGAAATTTTTGCTATTTCTAACTTTTTTGAAAAGAAACTTATGCGGTATAATTTTAAGTATTGTTTATAATCACACGCCGCAGTCCTTTATAATATATAATGTTATTTAAGTTTTTTCCCACTATGTACTTAGTGCAATTCTCAACCTGCAACCCCAAAACACATTATTAACTGTATTGACTCATCCACTCATCCCCAGCAGACACCATCAACAAGCTTTACAAGCTTAACATCCTAATATGATTGAGTGGAGATAAGAAAGAAGAAGAAGACAATGTTATATAGAACACAATTTACATCAATTTTACCTTTATGAGGCTTTTTTTGAGCAAAAAGTTCTTTCTACAGACCTGTTGGTATGTTTCATAGGGGGTTGGTTGAAGGATGGTCTAAACCGTTGGTTTTCGACCGCTACGAACTGGGTTAAATTACCGCATTGGGCACTTTTTTTCCAATTAAAAAAAAAAAAAAGAAAAATTTCAATGGCCACAGATTCTTGTAAAAATCCAACCCCACCAGCGAGTGCAAGTAACCCAAACGGAACTCTGGGCATATTTGTAAGTGCAAAGTTGAGCTGCTTTTCACATGTGTAGACATGTGGTGCACTTATAGTTAGAAGTAGTCGCCAACTTCAACCCACCATGATTATCATGGCCTGTACCACGTATACTAGGGATAAGCAAAAAAAAAGGATGTCATCCTGAAATCAAACACCCAGAAAGTATTAAAAAATAAGACAAAAAGTCACCACATCCACATAGATAAATTGCCATTACCCCACCATCCGTTATAAGAAAATGTTAATCTATTTTAACTCCTAAGTTTTTTTTTAAATGAAACAATTTTCTACTTCCTGTTGGGGAAATAAAAGGAAGGAAGGAGGCTGACACTGAAGAAAGAAGAAACTTTAATTAGTTATGTTCAAATTTACATAAAGCAGCTTACTTTAAACAAAAAATTTACATACCTACTGACCTAACCTTTTTTTGTTGTTTGTTTTTGAACAAGCGACAATCATTATTATATATACACAGCGGTCAATTGGTCAAAAATAAAAGAAGAGTAAAACGTTGAAATTGATTATTCCAACACTTCCCTTACTTCAAAGTTTAAAATAAAGCCAGGGCCATTATCTTACCATTGCACTAGGGGAAGTAGAAAATCATTTTATTTTAAAAAAGAAGCCAATACGTAAAAAATAGCTTAACTTTAAGATAAAAAATGTGTTGGAATTTTTCTGTAACAAAGTGCTGTTACCGAAACTTTATAAACACAAGGTAATAAGACCAAATCCAAAAAAAAATAAATAGTGTGTGATGTTTCGGTAACAGTGCTGTTAACTTATTTATTTATTTGAATTTGGTCTTATTACTTTGTGTTTAAAATCTATAATCCAAATTGTGCCTTATCATGAAACTTCATATTTTATTTATTTGGATGTGGTGTCATGTGTCGCTGCTAGTTTGTTTCACCAATCTACAATCCAAATTGTCGATCTAGTCAATAATAACTTTAGATATGTAAATAAGTACACTCACTCACGGGGACAATATTTTAAGGAAGTGGAATGTCTTTGATATCTCTGTCATCTATTTTTTTTTTTTTGAAGGAGACAGAGGCAATTTTGTTCACCCTTGGTTATCTTGTGTGTTTTCAATAAAGGTCACTGTAATATCTTTCAGAGTTATTGTCCCGATATACATGATAAAAGGTACAACTTCCTTAAGTTTTGTCTCCATGAGTGTATATAATGCCTAGTGGACATGGCATCTGCCCAGTAAGCGGAATACTGTGGGTTCGATTCCCATCCCTGGATACTTTTATTTTTCCATTTATCATTACTCTTCACAATTCATCCTTTCATACTTCATCAATAAGGATAGGAATAGTCGTTATTTCTCCTTAAAAAAAATTATGATATTTCGTTCTGTCAAAAAAGAAAAATTTTGCAGTAAAACTTGTCAAACGTTGTTCTATAATATACATGTATTGAGATGACAAACTCTATTTGCATATCTCCTAACATGTTCCGTGTGGCAGCATTCGTGACTACGAGGAAGTTCCATACATGGGGGCCATTGAATGACAATCCGACGAACCACAAATAATCTACGGTGTACAAAACTTTTTTTTTTTCTATATGACTTTAAAAAAAAACAAAGAGAAACCTTGATCTATGCAGCAAGTTGAAAAATAATCAAATCGTCCATGGCAAGAAATGCTTAGAGAAATTTATTTTTATTGAAATTTTTCTCTCTCTCACTCTTTCCCTTTTTCTCTCTCTCTTCCTCTCATTGCTGATGATTTATCATCATCATTGCCATCATCATCAGGCTGTCCTTAGCTATCTCTCTCTCACCCGGTTTTTTCTTTTCTATACTTTTCTATAGCGAGGTGTTTACAGTAGAGTTACTTTCATGAGAGGACACCTCTCTATAAATGACAGTTTTTATTTGCAAAAAAATAACATTTGAACTTTTTTTTTGAAAATCTCCAGTAAGAGGACAACCTCTCCCTAAAGGACACCTTGGCTTTGCAATTAGGTGTTGTCCTTTACAGGGAGGTACTGTACCTCTAACTGAAAGCTATGGAAAAAATTATTCTTATAGCCTTCACAAGACCTAACGCCATATTTATTATAGTTATGCAACAGGTATATGTGTGCAATGTGTTAAGTATGCAAATAGGATTTCAGACCCCCTCAACTCCTTTTTTTTCTCCAATGTTATGACATGATGAATACAACAAAAATTCCTCTATTAAGGCCTTTTTTTTTCCATGAGCTAGATGTTATCATTGTGAGGTCACGTTGATAAAAGGGTTTATATAATTGATTGATTGAAAAATCTCTGGACTCTTGATCTAAAATAAAGTAAAAAGTGTTCCAAAAGGGGAGCACCTCCCTTTGAAAAAATGTAATAAAGATACTGTTCGGAGGGATTTTTAATGTATTGAGCACATCTTCTTTTTTTTACTTTCTTTCTTATCATTTCTTAGTTACATTATTACCTGAAACTCTTGAATGAGCATCATTTATTACTGAAATAATAGATATGGTACATTTCTTTGATACATATAGCTCTTCTGTATTCAATCCTCCATATAGCCCCAGGCTTTTAATCCAATCAAACCACACACCACCCACTTATAAGGTAATAATTTATCTTATTTTTTCTCCCCTACAAAGTAGCTTTCTTTATAAATCTAATGAAATATATATTTGAATATATATATACATGTGAACAAAACTTAAGGAAGTTGTACTTTTTAATCATATATATAGGGATTCTGACACAATAACTGAAGATGTTTGATACACATTGACCTTTATTGATAAGGCACAATTTGGATTATAGATTATAAACCCAAGGTAATAAGACCAAATCCAAATAAATAAATAAATAGTGTGTGACGTTTCGGTAACAGCGTTGTTACCATCTTTTGACAAAAGTACTGAATGTTGATTGAGTACTTTTGTCTGAAGATGGTAACAACACTGTTACCGAAACGTCACACACTATTTACCATTCAGTAATTTTGTCTGAAGATGGTAACAATGCTGTTACCGAAATGTCACACACTATTTATTTATTTGGTCTTATTATCTTGTGTTTATTGACCTTTATTGAAAACAAACTAGATAACAAAAGTGTGTACAAAATTGCTTCGACTCCTTCAAAAAATATATATATGCAGTTAAACCTGTCTATAGCGCCTTCCTCTCTATAGCACCCTATTTTGATGAGTCCCAAGAGGGGGCGACAGGTTTAACTGGTGACATTAAAAGACTATCCACTTCCTTAAGTTTTGTACCCATGAGTGTTAAGTATGGTTGTGTAAAAAGTGATATTGAGATGTAGGTATGTATATATAGTACAGAATGATGTAAGGGGGACTGAATATCAAAGTGTGAATCTTTTTTTTTTTTTCTTTTCTTTTTCATCTCTATACAGCTTTCCTTTTTGCGCAACTGAGGTTATGTTATCTCTTTTGGCCTGTTTGCTGCACCGCTGCGCAGTTGACTATTTAGCAACTCTTCAGTAAGAAGACATCTCTACCTAAAAGACAATTTTGTTATGCAACTAGGTGTTGTCCTTTACAGACAGGTTCTATTTATAAACTTAGAACTGAAACATTCATGCTTAAAATTTCTATTTCTTATATATACAGAGGGCATGTAATATATTGTCTTATTAATTTCTCACAAGAAAAAAATTTCCCCTATAAGACTTCCTATCTCTTCAATGTGTTATGTATATTTTGTAAGATACGGCGTTGGCTTCTATATTATTATTATTTATGCTATTTTTTCATATCTATTACTTTTTATATTTTGGAAATCCTTTTTGTATTATATATATATTTTTATTTTTTCTTTGTGTTTTTTTTTTCTGTGCCAAATGTTTGTATAAATTCTTTCTTTATTTTAAGAGCTTTTAGAGAAGAAAAAAAAAATTGACTTCTTTTTGAAGGATTAACAGAAAAAAACTATTTTTATTTTTTATTATTTTGTTTATACTTTTGGTATTTGATGGATTTTTTTTTTTTGGGAATTTTTTCTATAGCCATGCAAAAATTATGGATGCTCTATATATTGGTCTTATTATCTTGTGTATAGAAAAATCTTGTTCACATGTGATATGGCTATATTGAGGTTCTACTGTAGTTCGATGGCAAAGCGCCAACTTTTATCAAGTAACGATAACTTATATTTCTCTCACAGTGCTATCAAGTTTATATATTTATAAATGTATGTAATTCTACTGTCCTCACAAAGCTTATGTCCATAGTTCATCTAAAATACCTATTCCAAAAGTCTATCAACAGTATCACTATAAAAGGAAGTTCCAAAAATGCAATATAACAGCGGTATGGTAGATTAAACTGGTGAAACCGCTGGGAGGGTTCACCACTGATAAGCCAGGCCCTCCCATTAATTTTTCCATTGCAGTAATGGCAGTAGAAATTGATTAATTTCAAAAAGAATCTTAGGCTTTTAAAATAGTTTCAAATTTTGATATCAAGTTTATTTCTTTTGGTCGTGCTTATTCTAGAAAAGTGCTGAGCCCAGTGTGCAAATAGGAATAATATATAAAATACATTCTAACAAATGTATACACTGTATTCTTTTTTTCAATCTTAAAATGGAATCTTGCTAAAGAAATCAAACTCCCGAAAGATTTTCTTCAATTTTTATTAAAAGTTTCATTTTTGTGTGTGATTGACTCTTAATTTAGGTCATTATTTCTATTTTTTTTTATCACTGTTAATGATTAAGTTAAATCTTTCCTACCTCAAGATGCCCAATTTGGCCCGGCCATCACCTTGGAGATGTTAATGGAAATTTGCATATATGAAATTTTGTGAGGGGGGGGAGTGTGATTGACTCTTAATTTATTCCTATTTCCTATTTTCCTAATTTTTTCCATTATTCCTACTTTGCACGCTGTTCTATGATTAAATATTTCCTACCTCAAGATGTCCAATTTGGTCCGGTTTTTGTACCATCACCTTGGAAATGTGAATGGAAATTTGCATCACATAAAAGTTTTGGAGGGAAGGGGTGTTTTCACCACTGATGAACCATGCCCTACCATCTTTCAATTGTTTATTCATTGCAGTATAAGGGGGCTGTATAAATAAATGTTTAATTATATATACAGTAGAACATACTCCTTGAGAGGACACTCGTGCTAGAGGACACCTCTCTTCAAAATTACCATTTTTACTATTTAGCTGATCTCCGTTATGAGGACACTTCTCCCTAAGGCAAAGGAGGTAGTTCTACTGTATGTAGAAAAAATAAGAAAACAAAAAATAAAAAAAAGTAATGTGAGCAGTTATAGGATATACCATTTTTATTTAAAAAAATTTATTATCTAGAAGAAAGATAGCTTTGTTAAATAGGTTTATAATTTTCATTGAGGGATGACGCTATGTAAATGATGATGTATTGAATTTGATGATAGCGATTAAAGCTGTTGTTGTTCTTTGATTTGCATAATCTCTGTCAGAATTGGGATTGCTGTTAACAAACTTTTAATTTATTTTCTCCTTTAAATCTTTTCTTTTTTTATTCTCTTAAGGATTCCTTTAAAATAATTAACTCTTTTCCGTTGTTGTTTTTCTATCTAGTTATTGTGTCCAAATTCCTTCCTCGAAGCAATTGCTGTTGGTATATAAAAAAGCAATAAATAATTTTTAAGTGGCCTTATTGTAATGGACATTTTTGTGATGGTCAAATTGGATTTTCTTTTTTTGTTTTCTTTTCATTTTGTTGGCCTATAGTAATACAAGCTGCATTTGGTGATATTGGACTACCCATTGTTGCACCTTTCATTTGGAGATATATTTGGTCATCATAAATAAAGTATGTAAATATGATGACCAAATATATCTCCAAATGAAAGGTGCAACAATGGGTAGTCCAATATCACCAAATGTACCTTGTATTACTATAGGCCAATTAGAAATAAAAGCTCTAAATTCACTTAAAAATGATGTTTTTTTTCATTTTGTTGTTAAAAAAATGATTATTAATTAAAAATATATATATAGATGCTAATTGTTAAATTGGAATAATAATATATTTGCATAATTTTGTTTTGTAGTTAGTTGTGTGTGATTTGAATGTATGAAATTTTGAATATTTGACAGCAGGGTTTTATGTAAATCCTCTTTTTTTTTTCACAAATTCATTTTTAGGTTTAGGTGTATCATCTAAATTGTAAATATATATAGAAAAAATAGACTTTTATTGAAAATAAAGGCTATATTTGAATATCTTATGATATCCATTTAAATAAAAATGTTTCAAAA